GTTTTCTCTGGATTCCAGTTGTCCACACTCGGGTCAGTGCTACACGTGAGAGTTGCTCTTGTATGAGATATTCTTTGTTTAGCTATTTCAGCTGAAAAGGAAAGTAGAACCAAACAGCTTTTAGAGGGATTGTTGAAACAATTTTTACTCATTGACACATTTGAGGGGCTAGGAACTTTGTTAATAATAGAAGTGTTACTTGTGAAAAGTTTTCTGAAGTATTGAAATCAAGTTCAGAGATTGAAGAAAGCAAGAACTTTAGAAGTGGTAATCCAGTTCCTGCTTAACTGAAAGAAAGATAAGATCCTATTCATTTGTTAGGAAACAGACTAATTCATTTGATTAATCAGAGCTGTCTTTATAGGAAAATCAATTCATTGTCGTCCTTTTTTTTGTTTTTTTGTTTTTTTGTTAGAGACTTACTCTTTTACAAATGGAAAATTTACTATGTTTATTCTAGTCACATCCCTTCTGAGAATTTAAAATCCCTCCTTTCCAGGTTAATAAGACAGGATTATTTCCTCTAATCACTTCCTCTAAGGGAAATAGAATGGAGTTGTTTCTTGACCCCAATTTGCTTGTTTGAATTTCAAGCTTCCGTATTGGAAAATGGGAATCAAAACTCTTGCCTTATTTCTGATAAGATTTCATTTTAAAATTTAGTATGGGTGTTATACTTTTAAGAGCAAAATAAGGATTACACAAAGGACTTTAGTATTTATCTAGATGTAGCATTCTTGATAAATTAAAAAAAAAATTAGTGCTCAATATAGCATTGTACCAAGAAGGAAGTACTTCCTAGAATAAGAGATGGTGATTCAGTTGGCACTCTAGCCAGTGTCAAATGTCAGCTAACTACACATGTGCTACACATGTTTTCTGAACTGAAAAGCCTTTTGGTCAATGGTAGAAACATGTTTTAACACTTAAGTAATTTATAGCAATGGATATTGATTCATGGTGTAGGAGTTAATTTTACACATTCATAGGATTTTAGTCTAAATGTCATTACTGGTCAATCCACAAGCATTTTTAAAGTGCCTACTTTATGCCGGGCATTAATAGTTTTTGCCCTCAAGGAGCTTTACATTGCTCATGTGGAGGAAGCATGCACATGCATCTATCTACTTATGTAGATAGAGCTGAGTCTTTTTTCAAATAAATTTTTATTGCTGTTTTAAAAGTCAACTATACTTCCCAGTATATGTCTTCCTCCTCTCCCTTCTCCTCCCCAGAACCACCCCTCATAAAAAATGGGAAAACAAGGAAAAAACAGTTTGTCAAAACTAACTAACCAATACATCAAAAAAGTCGGATGTTCAGTATGGTGTTCCATGTCCATAGCTCCACATCTTTGCAAAAGTAGAGGGGATGAAGTGCTTTCTTATATCTCTTCTTAGGGGACTGGCTTGGTTAGTTTAATTCTATAGTATTCAATTTTTATTGTTTTCATTCAAGCAAAAACCTTTATTAAGCATTTACTATGTGTCAGGCACATCACAGGAGATAAAAAGAAAGATTCAAACAAACCTAGCCTTTTTTTTTCCTTCTTTTTTTTTTTTGGCTAGGCAATGGGGTTAAGTGACTTGCCCAGGGTCACACAGCTAGTAAGCATTATTACACGTCTGAGGCCAGATTTGAACTCAGGTCCTCTTGAATCCAGGGCCGGCGCTTTATCCACTGTGCCACCTAGCTGCCCCTTAAACAAGCCTAGCCTTTGAGGAGCTCATATGCTAATGAGGGGGACCACATGTAAATAACTAGGTGAAGTTAGTTAAGTAACTAAATAACTAACACTCAATAAATAACTAGATTTTCATACAAGATATGAAAAGACTAGATAGCAGGCAGTCTTGGAGGGGAAGGTACTAGTAGCTGGGAGCATGAGGAGGTCGGGTTGGAGCTGAGATTTCAAGGAAGTCATGGAAACTAAGAGGCTGAGGTGATGAGGGGGCAGCATTCTAGACATTTCATAAAATGACAAAGTGGAGAATAATGCTGAAGAAACAGCAAATAGGCCAGTATAGTTGAATCATAGAGTGTGGAATGGATGGAAAGGAAAGACTGGAAAGGTAGCTGATAAAGAACTTTAATTGCCAAGCAGAGAACCTGTATTTGAACCTGGAGGTAATAATAGCAAGCCAATGGAGTTTGTTGAGTTGAGGAGAGACCTCTGTTTTAAGAAAATCACGTTGGGAGCTGATTGGAAGGTACAGTTAAGTGAGGAGAGACTTTTTGTTGTTGCTTCTATTTCTGATGGCATTTTTATGTATATTGTTTTCCTGGTTCTGCTTACCTTATTTTGCATACGTTTATATAAGGCTTTCCATGCTTCTCTGTATTCACCATATTCATCATTTTTTATAGTATAGTAATATTCCTTTATATTCTTCTCTCACAATCCATCTAGCTATTCCTAAATCAATGGGCATCTACTTTATTTTTCTAGTTCTTTGCCGCCACAAAAAGTATGGAGTAGAGTCTTGAAACAAACCAGAGATGGGGGGATATAGGAAGTGGTGATAGTAGAGCCCCTCCAGACATGGTGGATAGCCAGTGCAGAGGAATGGGTTAAGAGGTAGGAGGTCTTGTGTGAGGAATGTCAAGAAAGCCAGTATTACTGGAGTGGATATAGAGTGTGTGGACCAGGAGTAATGTGTAATAAGGAAGGAAAGACTACATGGGCCATTGGGATGAGTGCTAAATGCCAAATAAGGGAGTTTATATTTGATTCTAAGGGTAATAGGGAACCATTGGAATTTATCAAAATTGGAAAATGGCATGACTAGAGTTAGGAAAATTACTTTGGCAGTTGTATGGAATATGAATTAGAGAAGGGAGTCTGAAATATCCAGTAGGTAGTTGGGAGTGTGAAACTGGAGAGAGGCCAGGACTGGCTATGTGGAGCTGGGAGTCATATACTTAGAGATAATGGAGCCCTTGGGAGCTGGTGAGGTCACTGAGTAACAGTATAGAGATTGTTGTTAACTCACAGTTAGAGATGATATGGGTGATGAACCAGCAAAGGAGACTGAGAAGGAGAGGCCTGGTGGGTAGGAGGAGATCCTAGAGAGAGTGGTGTCATGTGGTCTGAAATAGATCCTGAAGAGTGTGCGGGAGGAGAGTGAGTGTTCAGCAGTGTCTGCCTCTATAGAGAGGTCAAGAGGGATGATAAGAATGGAGGAGAAGGCCATGCATTTGACAGTGCGTCATTATTAACTTTGACAAGGCAGTTCCAGTTGAGTGCTGGGGTGAGGAACTAGGTTGAAGAGGATTTAAAAAGTGGAGGCTAGGAAGAGCAGGCCTTGAAATAGATGTAACAGTGAGTCACTGAGCATGACCTTGTGTTTATGAAGTGGTTCGGTATTTTCTGTTTTTGTACATCGAAATAAACTCACTGTGTTGTATCAGCATGCATTTAAAGTGTTTGTTCCAGCTAAAACCCAAATGTTGGTTGGCTAATACTTAAGGCAGTGATGAGTGATCAGAATACTCATGAAATAAATAACACTCTAATTTAGATCTCATTAATTTCTCCCAAATAATTTGGATTGAAGATTCTCATACCAAGTAAGCAATAGTAAAGGGAGAATGTTTGTCCAACTTAATAGACCAGACTAAGCAGTCTGTACTTTGGTGGTGCCCCATTTTCACAGTTAATATGTTTAATACAAATTATACTTATTCAGGGCCATGTGTACTTTAAGAAATACTTCTATCTGGGAAGACTTTGCAGTTTAAGCTACTAAATTAGTGGAAACTACATTTCATTAAAACTAGAATTCATTATTTTTCTTAATTTTCCAAGTAATTCATATTAAGCTTTACTGTGCCTATAAGTAGACTATAAGTCTTTTAAGTAGAAATAACTTAGCCTTAGGAATGGGAATTCTTGCATGAGGAAGAACTCTTTGGAGGTGTGGAAGGAGGTTAAAATTAGCCACCAGTACATTTTTAAAAATACTATCAACTAAAAAAGCGTGGAAAGATGTATAAAATGATGCAAAGTGAAGTAAGCAGAGTCAGATAAATGATATACACAAAATACAAATAGTTGAACATGAATGTCACAAAATTATTGCAAAATGTTGCAAAAATAAAGAACAAACTTAGCCTCCAATAAGAGAGATGAAAAGACACCTCATTGCACTTCTTAGAGGTGAAGGGGTCCATGGGTATAGAGCATTGCGTATAAAAATGAAGGCTTTTTGATTAACAGATCAGTTTTGCTTAATTTTTCTTCGTTTTTTTCTTTTAAAAAAATTTTTTTTTATAAGGAATGGCTTTCTGGGAGGAAGGGAAGAGAGAAGAGGATATCTAGGTGATTAAAAAACAAAAGATATTAATAAAATATATTTTAAAATATAAAATACTGTAAATTATATAAGGGGAGCTAGGTGACAATGAATGGAATGTCAGAGTTGGAGGCAAGAAGAGCTGAATTCAGATACTGCTTCAGGCTCTTAATAGTTGTATGCCCCTGGCCAAGTCACTTAACCTCCCTCGGCCTCAGTTTCCTCATCTGTATAATGATGATAATAATAACACCTGCCTCATAGGGTTGCTGTGAAGAGTAAATAACACATGTAAAGTACTTTGTAAAGCACTATACAAATGCTAGCTATTGTTGTTGTTATTGTTGTTATCTGGCATAAATCATAGACATAAGGTAGTATGGTAGAGGAGAAAGAATTAAGAGACCTGGAATTAAGTCTTAGATCTATCATTAGCTTTGTGACCTTGGGTGAGTCACTTCACAATCTGTGCCTCTGTTTCATTTATAAAGTAAGAGAAGTTAGACTAGATGATCACTGAAATTTTCTCTAGTCATAATGTTGTATGAGTCAGATTTGATTGTGATAACTCCCCCTTTCCCAAGAACTCAGTGGTTTGAAGGCAAAGTTCATTCATCAGTATGCAAAATGTTTAGATTTCACCCTCAGATATAGGCCACATGTGTGTTTGAATTTTTTCAGTAATGGGAATTTATTCTTTCACAGGTATCAAGGTTACATTTATACCTACCGAGTGTCCCAGTCAGAAACAGGTTCTTGGAGTGCTGAGGTATAGAGTTTTTTTCTTTTATTTATGCTTACTGTGGGAGGTAATGATATGTATGGAATTGAGATTATTTTTACCCAAGAGTGGTTGAATCACATGGCACCAAAACATTTTTCAGAACCAATTTACCGTAGCACAGCTGTATGATAACATCATTGTAGTAGTGAAATTAAAAAATGCTTGTATATCATTAAGAAGCCTCCAGAGGCACTAACTTATTATTATTTAGTACTGATTCAAAATTCACCTACCCAATTTTGAGGAAGGATATGAAATTGAGAAAAAAGTATATCAGATTTTCTTTTCTTTCTTTGATTCAGAAAGTTCCAAATACAAAGCAGATATGAAATATATAGGTAAAATAAATTAGAAAATATTTATTGAGAGCCTACTATGTGCCCAGGTTGATACTGATATTGTGAGATATGAGAGAGTATGGTCTCCTGCCCTGGAACCTGTGATCTCACTGGGTAGACAAGATCAATTCCTTTGAAACAATAGAGTGATAAAATATTTGGTAGAACCATGATTTCATCCATTGTGGGGCCTCTGATGCAGAACACCATCCTTCTATGCCATATGAGACTTCATGAAAGAGCAAAGTCTTGAAATGAGACAGGAAGGTTGGGTAGACTATAGATAGACACTCTGGGTACGTAGGACTCGTTAACACATTGCAAGCATGGTATCTCATATTACCAGTGATTTTTTGATGCGGTTACAAAGAATATTCAAGAACTGAAAAATCTATCACAAATGCTTTTGTGGGCTCCTGACCTTTGTAACAGTCCCCCTTGCTTATCAAAGTAGCTTATTATTAGCTATTTGCACACACTAACACTTGAATAAACTTATTTATAGATTGCTTATTATTATTATTATTATTATTATTTTGCTACACTTGTGTGTTGGCTCTAGGCATGATCCTGCTTAATGTGTATTACTGTCTTCCTTAGTGATAAAATCTATTATGCAGAGATGACAAAGAATAGGGATAAAGGAAGAAATGGTGATGGGGAAGAGAAAATTGAATAAAAAATATTATGAATTTAAAGACATTTTGGTAAACTGTTCAGTTCTGTATGTATTTAAATAATTATTTTTGAGATTTTGTATGAATTTAGTTATTAATCATACAACTTATTCCCAGTTAATAAAATTTTAAAATATGAGATACATTTGAAACTTTTTAATTCTTTAGGCCTTAACATAATGTGAGGAATTTTAAATACAACCAAGATGAATGTTAGTGTAAGTTTAAAAAAAGTTGTGATATTATCATCAAGGAAGCTAATATTGTCACACAAACTTCATGATTTCCAGTAAGAACTTATTTTTGCCTTTTAAAGGATCATCTCTGCAGAGAAGTTTGCAAAATTAATTATCATGACATTAGTAATTGTGGCATGTGTAACACATATTATTCATGTGTGGCGGAAAATGCTTCTGGGTCAAGGACATTTTGCTTTCAACTTGTTTTCCGCTGTGCTTTTCATGATGCTAATGGGGAGAAGGTCCATTAAACAAGAAAGTCTGGCATATTCTAACACCGAATAATGTAGTTCAATTTCAATTATTTGCTCTAATGGAATGGAAGTGGCAGAGGATTATCCCGAAATAGCAGGTAATCCAAAGAAACCTTTATGTGTTGGTTTTTGGAAGGCATGCTCTGAGTTTTCTCCCCCAGTTATTTCTCCCTTCCCAAGTTTCTGCTGCTGTGATTGTTAAACTAGTTTACATTCCCACAGCATATGCCATTTGACTGGGGGAAGTGTTCCCGAAGCCTGGATAGGAAGGAAGAAGATAGTCTGAGGGCCAAACAATTTTCATTGGATAATTGAGATCTGACTATATGGAGGATATGCAAATATGAATCCCATTTAATTAGCTCAGCACCAAGATTTGGGAGTGTTAGTGAAATTCTTATGCCTTCTGTTTTTGAAATGTATTAAATGAGTACAAGATTTCCATTGATTTTTTGGAGCAGTGATTTAGCTTTCCCTTAAGGTAGAAAAAAATGACAGTACTTTTGTGAACATAAAAAGTGTGTTAGGAATATGGGGTGGTGATGTAGCATTTTTTTAAAGGGTGAACATGACTTCACATTAGAATGTGGGTTCACATCAAACGTAGAAAACAAATATCCTTAGTATTTGGTGTTAGAGATTGGCATCATTGGCTTGATCATGGCCCTAGTACATTTATTTCCCATCTGCTGACCTCTGGTGAAAAGATATTAAACCATCAATAAGTGAAATAATTCTATATATAGGCCTCTGGATTGTATTCACCTGTAGATTAGCTACAGTATATTTTTAACCCAGAATGAATTTCCCCTACCGTCTTCACTGTTTCTTGGCCTGTTTTGCTCAACTGTTAGCTGGTGTTTGACTCAGGGATAGTAGCCTACAAATAGGAATGGTTTTCTAATTATCCTTGTTATGCATCTCTCCATTAGCTTGGCTAGTCAAGAGTTAACTGCTTTTCTTACGTAACCACAGGGAAGAAGATGTTGCTACTTGATAATGGTACCATAAGCCACAAGAACAGTTGAGAACATGCATAGTCTTAAATCTTTCCCATGTCGATAAGAGTGTGGGTTGTCTGTTATTTGGGTGGGAACTCCAGTTTTTGTTAGAGCTAACTTAACTGAATGAAAAGAGCTACTTTGGAAAAGCAAAGACCTGGGCTTTAGTGCTTTCTTTGCCACTCTATCTATTGTGTCCCTTCTCATCTACCTTCCTTCATCTGTAAAATGGGAATGATGCTATCTGCCCTGCCTGTTGGTTGTCGGGATAAAATTAGTCAACAGATATGAAAGTGCTTTGGAAAGGAAAAAGAGTGAGAGTATTGGGCTTAAAGGGCCCCACTTTTACAGTTTGGATGTCTTAACTTGCATTCAAAAGCAGTCCCTGTTGGGTACCTGCATTGTTTGGGAGGGGAGATCCTCCACGCCATAGAATTGCCCAGGAAGGGGTTTTGTTCAGGTTGAGCTGGGTTGGAGGAGAAATTCTGTAGCTGCTTATGTTGAGGCTCTCCTCTATATAAACCAACCTAGAGTTAGAAGTTTACTTGGAGCATGAAAGTAAAAGAAAATTAATCTTGATACTTAAAAATCCACTTTTTCTAATATAAGGAATGATCAAGGTGATATGACAGTTCTCTGTTTTTACCTTTTTGTTTCTTTGAAAGAAATTTACACTGTCCCCCCCAGTTAAAAAAACAAAAAGAATACCCAACTCCCTCCCCCCACCCCCACAACCTTCAAAACTCCCAAGTAGTAGTAACTCTAAGATAGCATGCTGTAAAACTAGTCATTGTTCAGAGAAATCATATTCATGCTATTAAAATGACAGTTTTGAGCTCCTGGATAAAGCTTGGTTCACATCCTAAGCTTTTAGAATTAATTGCTGGTGGCGTGTCTGCAGGAGGACCAATGGCAGGTTCTGAGTATTGTTTTGGTAGTCATCCATGGAAAACGATCTCTTAAAATACATATGGACAGAAAACTCACCTTACGCATACTTTCATTTTTATTGCATGGAAAGAATTTTGACTCAGTGATGTGTCCAAGGAGAATGCAATTTAAGGTTGGTAGAGGAGTTTCTCAAGGAAGAAGGAGGAAATTGTTTAGGAACGTGAAGGACATGCAGATTGATAGATCATGAAAGCTAAGCCTATACTACAACATTTATGTCACAGAGAAATGGCACATAACTTGTATGTTGTTGTGGTTTTATTCCTTAGGGTTTTCATTAATGACCTATAAGATCTGTGTTTTTTCTATATTTAACTGCACCATCGCCATTGGTGAATTTATTGTGGGTAATGGCCCATATATCCTTAGAGGTTATGGATATATAATGGGTAACATGCAGGAAGGGTAGGGAGGTGAGCAAAGAGCATGTGAAAACTAATGCCACCCTTGGGAGAACTGAAATGATAGCTCATTAGCAGTTCTTGCAGAGGAAAATTCAGCTAACCAAAGTAATATTGTTTTCCTCTCTTTATGTTTTCAAATATTTGAACAGGTACCACAAATATCAGCTCTATAAGTAACCTTAGCCTCTTTTGTAGGCTCTCCTGTACCATTATTAGCTAGATGAATCCTCTGCTTGATCCTTTATTTTACAGACGGCACCTGGGGTACAAAAAAGATTATTCCGGAAAATAAAAAATCTCATTTCAGCATTTCAGAAGCCAGATCAAGGCATTGTAATACCTTTACAATATCCAGTAGAAAAGAAACCATCGCCTAGAAATGTACAAGGTATTGTAACTATAGTTAAGTAGGTCTTTTAATATTCTAGCATGTAAATCATTTGAGTTTATTGACCCAATGGAAATTCTACTTGAAAAATGACATTGGATTGATTACCTCATTGATGCTTCATGTATTGAGAGATGTGGATGCTTATAGGCTATGCTTTCAATGTCCTAGCTTACTAGGAATTGTTAGTGAAGTCAATGGATACATTTCCTAAATTTATGATCCCACATCGTTAAACTTTTTTTTCCCTCTCCTGTTTTTTGACTAACACAATTTAGCCTCATTAATTGAGATCCCACTAATTTGGAAGTTGTGATAATTCAGAAAGGTATTGGGCTGACGTTTACTTTTTCTATAGATGATGGAAAGGTTATTGCTAGCCTGTTCACATGATCACAAATTCAGGTTTAACAAGGCTTTATTGTAGTAGAGTAAATTAAAGCAAGTAGTCTTTATTATTCCACCGATGTATATTGTTATATCCCTTGCACAAGGCTGTTTTTATTAATTGTATAGCTAAAGACTGGGAATAGCGGCAAATATATTTTTTTGGGAAGCACAATTATCAAATTCATGTTATTTGTCCATTCTCGGAGTTAATCTTTTGTTTAAATTAAGATGATTGGCCTTGATTTAAGGCAGTGTTGATAAGCAAATGAAAATATTTGAATTTTGTATGTTATATCCCACAATAAGAACATAGGTTCATAGATGAGCTGAAATCTAAAAATTGAACAATAAAAATTCTGTACAATAGAAATGTAAACAACTCAAATTTATGAATTTGCTACCTGATCTTTCCAGTTGTATTCCATAACTTATAACTGAGTTAAATTTAAGTACTATTTATTTGAAGTAAGGGAGGTATCTCTATATATGGTGTGAATAATTGGAAATTCCATTACTGGAGGTTTTAAAAAATATTTTTAATGCTTTTAAATCTTATTTCTAAGATTTTTGTGATTATTTTCCTTTAGGGAGAAGAGAAGACCCTGATGTCTACATGAAAGCACCGTGAAAACACATTTATTTCAGATAATTTAAATAGGCCGTTAGGTGTTTTCTCTTGTATATAACTGTGTATAACTGTGTATTACAACTTTGTATATTGTAGATAAAATTAAATGAGTAACAAATTCATTTTTGAAAATATCATTCTTGTAATGGAAGCTTCTAGCCTGATGTTAAAATGTCCATGGCCTTTTCATGTAATCTGGAATTTTAAAATGAGAATTGGGAGAAAAAATTCTATTGCATTAAAATTTTAGATACTTTTTTCAGTTACATATACAAATAGGAAATGTTTGGTTTTAAACCAAGTGTGATGATTGGAAGCATAGCGAACAGATTTTTTTTTTAATGTCAGTAAGGCTTTCTTTTTGCTAAACAATAAAAAATCCTTTTAGTCAAAATGTCCTTTTTAGTGAAGTATTTTTGGGATTCACTGATTTTTTTTTTCCAAATTACATTACTTGACTTTTTTGAAAGCCCAGGCATTACCTATTCTGTTCCACACAGCAAATTTGGCCCTTTTGGTTAAATGTGGTAGTATTTCATCTTTTTTGTTTCATTCTGAAAATAATCTTGAGCGTTATTCTGAAGTTGGTCAGTTAAGCCTGTGAATCAATCTTGGGTAAGAAATCACAGAAGTTAAAATATGTCCATGTTGCTATTTGGCTAAATGATTGGTAATTATATGGATTTTTCTTGCCTTGCTGTGGGCCAAATTCTCCCCTACTGGACTTACTACTACCACGTGAAAACTCCTTTTATTTTTAACGGCAACCCTAAATTTGGAAAAAAAACTCAATAACAACAACTGTTCCTGGGGCAGTTGGCTTCTTCAGTGCTTTTGTTGTTACTTCTGAGTTCCTCTTATAAAGTGAGTAACTTGTTTGTAAGTAGCTCCATTAGTATTCTCAGCATTTTATTTATATGCCCAATTTATATTGATGTGAAGTTTATTAGTTAATTAATGTCTGAATTCATTTTAAAGTATATATTCCTGAAACCGAGTCAGATTTACATTTTGTAGTGGTTTTTGATCTTGGCATGTTAAATTGGTCTGGTGGGCCAAAAAAGTTAATGTCCTCAGAGATTGCTTTACATAACCCTTAGAAGACTTCATTTAAATACGAACATTTTATTGTATTTTCTAATTATTTGTAGCTTTGTTGTTTCATGGGTTGACGAGGCCAAAGAATTCTTCACCAAGTGATCAGCACTGGTGATGAGCCTATTTATAGTGTTCTTAGAAAGCAGACCTAGTATGTTTCCAGGGCCATGCTCGAAGCCTTTCCAGCATGGAAGAAGCTGCCAGAGGTTCTTTGGCTGCTGTTTTCTGCTTTTGAGAATCCACAGTCATCTTTGCATCCCAGCCGAAGAGTCAGAGTAAGACTTAATGGACACAGCTGCTGAAGAATTAAAGTGGCTGTTTACAGGATCCGGAGAAGTGCATGATGGATGTAAGTAGGCTGCAACAACATATTTTAGTTAGAGAACTGTGCATGTGAAAGAGTGTACTTATCGCCAGAGAAATGTATGACTAGAAAAGAAGGTTAGTAGGTTTTATGGGGAGAGCATGGACGGGTTCTGATCTGTACCTTTGGGCCAAGTACTTCCCTCAGTGATCAGATCACAGACCCCTACACCCCTGGTAGAGGCTGAAGAACCACTTACTTGGTGAGTTGTGCGGGGACTCTGTTGGAGGTATAGGTGGAACCTAATGGGGCACTAAGGGGCCTTCCAACTCAGAGATTGAGAAACTGCATTTCTTCATTTGTTTTAACAAATGCCCCTTTATTCAGTAGGAAAGAGTAAAGTAAAATACCTAAATGAGGCAGTGCTGAAAGCCTTCTTAGTTTTATTAGACTGATCCAACCATTCTTTGAAAAAGATTTTGCTGCTCTCAGACTTCAGCAAATGTATTCGTCTTCATTTTGTTGGCCAGACTCTTATTCATGAAATTTCTTTAGCATCTATTTATTGTTACTGACATACTTGCTACTTCCCAGAAGTTAATTGTTTTTTACTTTTGTAGAAACTTCATATCTTTGTCCCATTACAAATATTGCTAATGTTAGACTAGACTTGTAAAATGCTGACTCAAGGCAAAATGATCATCTTTTACCTTCATTGGTTTAAAAGTGCTTTTACATACGTATTATCTCATTTGATCCTCACAACTACTGTAGGCAGGTGAGGTGTTATCTCTTTTTCTTTTGGATGAGAAAACAGGCTGCAATGCTGTACCCAGGGCCACAAAGTTTGTAAGCCAGAGAGCCAGACTTCAGAGCTGTGTCTTCTGGTCTTTCTGGGTAGAAAAATCCCCAATTAGTAAATCCAGGAGGAACATGACAGCTTAGTGAATACTTGTTCATTTCCTTTGAAGTTTGTACTTAATAGAGAAGGCCTTTGGCAGGTGATAAGGTTAGTAAAGAGTAAACTTAGATAATTGTCTTTGTCACAGGTTGGGACTTAACACTGTTTGCAATAGTGTGTGAATAAGGCTTAGAGTGAAAGCTGCCATCTGTGGGTGTAAATGAAAGTAAAGCTTTAAAGAACTTCTTTGGTAGAGATGGTGGAAGACAAATAAGGTGAGTAATGACTTAAAAACTTAATGTTTAAACATGTATCTAATGTACTTCATTATTATGCAACAAAATCCAACTTTGAGTACGTTAGGGTCAACAAAGCCCATTCTGCCCACTGGTATATGTGTCTCTTATGGCCACTACTATTTATACCTGCCATTCTTGTAAAGCATATAAATAGAGAATATAAGGTGGTGTTGAATTCTTTTATTTAACCATTTTCTCTGTTACATACTATTAGGCTGAAGCTGTAGTAAGCAGTCAGATTTTTATTTGATCTCTTGATGCTAAAACCAGTATGTTTATGTAGAAAAAGAAGAGAAAACATCCTGGTCAACAATTGGTATATGTCTTGTGGTGTGAGAACTGGTATAGAGCCAATACATTTGTTTCATTTTAAGGTGACGTAGTAGAGGGGGGGGACTTAGAAGACCTGGATTTTAGTTCTGGCTCTTACTAACTTACTAACCTTCTGTGGGCCAGTTTGTAAAATTTGTAAAATGAAGATAATGCTTCTACCTTACAGGATCATTGTGGAGGCTCAGATGCCACAAGAGAACTCTACTAATATAGGCTGGTATTCTGTACTTGTTACTTGTTGATCTCATGTTGGGTTTGAGGTATGCTATTAGATGACAGTAGAACCATAGTGTAATACAGTCCAGCAAGAGTTAACGTTTCCTTAGAGAATACTTCCAGAAAAAGATCTTACAGCCAAAACAATGCTTAGAAGATTGTTCGGTTTTATGTTGTGCATTTTGTGTCTTCAGATACTAAGGACCTTTGCACTACTTAGTCCTGTGTATTTTTCTAGAGGAGGAAAGTGGTACTGGTTTGGGACTTCCAGAGTTTTAGTAAAGGTTTGTTTGTTGGAAAGTAACTGAGATAACTTTGCCAGGTGAAAGTAAAATAAGTAAAAACTCATTTCTGATTCACTTAAAAAAAATTAAACCTGGTAATTGATCTAGGGCTTTACTTAGCCCTAATCTCTATAGCATCTCTTCAATGTCTACCTTCCTCTCTAGTTATGCTGCCCCCATTTTCATATAGCCCTCATTTCTACCTGTTGGCACTATTTAAAAATGTTTTATTGATGCTTTTTTTAATTCATGTCTGTTATTACCCATTAATTATGTCCTCCCTCCCACATTCTAAGAAAAGTCTTCCTTTGTAACAATGTGTAGTCAAGCAAAACAAATGAACACATTGGCTTTGTCCCATTCTGGACCTCTCTGATGAGAGGTGGCTGGTGTGTTTCATCATCAGTCTTTTGAAGTTGTGATTGGTTTCCACCTTGGCCAGAGTTCTGAGGTCTTTCAAAGTACCCCCCCCATATTATTATTGTTGCCACCATGTAAATTGTTCAGATTTTGTTCACTTCACTTTGCATTGGTTCATGCAAGTCTTTCTCTATTTCTCTAAAGTTTGCAGTGCCTCAAGATCAAGTAAATTTCATATACCACAGTTTATTCAGCCATTTTCCAACTGATGAACACCTGTTTTGTTTCTAGTTTGTTGATCCAAAAAAAGTGCTGTCCTAAATAGTTTATATCTGTGACCTCCTTGGAGTTTATCCCTAATAGTAGTATGTACATTTTAGTGACATTTCGGGTACAGTTTCAAACATTTTTCTGGAATAGTTGCACCAGTTTACAGCTCTACCAACAGTACATTACTGTGTCTGTCTTCCAACAACTGCTGTTTTCTTTTCATCATTTTTGCTGATCTGATGGATGTCAGGGTGGAACCTCAGAAAATGTTGTATTTTGTCTTCTATTCCTACTGATTTGGAACATTTTAAAAAATATGGTCATTGACTGTTTACATTTCTTAATTTGAGAAGTACATTTCCATTATATTTTGCCCACTTCTCTGTTGGGGAATGGCTTTTATTCTTAGATATTTGTATCACTTCTTTATGTGTCTTGGATATTAGACCTTTGTCAGAAGAAAATTGTTGTAAAGATTTTCCCCACTTTTTTGTCCTCTTATTCTAACTATATTTATTTTGCTTTTGCAATAACTTTTCGGTGGTGTGAAAACAAAATTGTCCTTTGATCTTTTATGGTCTCTGTCCCTTGTGTAAGTAAGAATTCTTCCTTCTGCCTGTATCATCGCAATAGCAATTCACCAACAAATTCCCCATTCTCTCTCCTCTCGGTATCTGTTCATGTCACTCCTCTGCTCAAAAATCTTCATTGGCCCCCAAACTGTCTGACAAGTAAAGTTCAAACTCCTTTGCTTGGCATTTGAAGCCCTCCAGAATCTATCACCCCACCCCCTGCCTTTCCACCCTTCATAGTCTTCCTATCCATTCATACTCTGTGATCCTACCAAATTGAATTTCCTCTGTGACTGAAGACATACCTTGCCCTTTGCTGCCTGAGTATCTTTGCTCAGAATTCCTTATGCATGGAACATCCTCCCTTGGCTTCTTTGCATGTTGCATTTACATTCAGCAAACATGTAATAATTCTAGCTGGCTCTTATAGTATAACACAAATGCTACTTGTTCCATGATACCATTTCTGAGTCCCCAGTTAATAA